GAGGAGGAGGTACAGGAGACCGCGGGGGAGGAGAGGGGAATGAGGAGGATGAGGAGAAAGTTGCGATAGGTGATCGAGGATGATGATGCTGATGATGACGATGATGCTGTTGCTGATGCTGATGCTGATGCTGATGATGATGCTGATGATGCTGCTGCTGATCATGCTGATGCTGATGATGACGAAGACGCTGATGATGATGCTGATGCTGGTGATGATGACACTGATGATGGTAATGATGATCATGTTGTTGTGTTTGTTGTTGCTGTTGTTATGGTTGTTGTGGTGGTTGTTGTTGTTGTTGCTGTTGTTGTTCTTGTTGCTGGTGGTGTTATCTGTTGTTGTGGATGATGATGATGATGATGATGATGATGATGATGATGATGATGATGATGATGATGCTAATGATGATGACGCTGATGATGATGATGATGTGGAGGAGGACGACGATGATACTAGTGCTGATGATTTAGGAGGATGGTCGTGATTAGGATGATGATGCTGATGATGATGACGATGATACTGATGATGATACTGTTGATAAAACTTATGCTGATGTTGATGCTGCTGATGATGCTGATGCTGCTGCAGATGATGATGCGGGTGCTGATGCTGATGATGACGATGCTGTGGATGATTGTAATGATGCTGCTGATGATGATGGTGATGATGATGATCATGATGATGTTGGCGATGATGACGATACTGATTATGATGATGGTGCTGATGATGATGCTGATGATGATGCTGACGATGGTGCTGTGCTGATGCTGATGCGCATGCTGCTGCTGATGCGGATGCTGATGATGGTGGTGGTGATGCTGATGATGATGATGATGCTGATGATGCTGATGATGAGGATCAGAAGGAGGAGGAGGAGGAGGAGGAGGAGGAGGAGGAGGAAGGATATCAATTCGCTCGGGTTCCTATGGCCCGCGTCGCGGCGCGCTACGCTTCGCCTCGACTGGATCTTGAGCTCGATCGTCCTGGCGCTGTTTTTTGCTCGCCCGTCGGGAAGGTCAGGTTCCGTGGCCGACCTCGTGACGCGCCGCTAGGACCGAGGGTGGAAGGGAGGAGGATCGAGGATCTATGAGGATACAGGATTTGGCATCGAGGAGGCCGAGCAGAGATGAGAAAGAGAATGCTGATGATGACGACGTTGATGATGATGCGATGCGGATGCTGCTGACGATGCTGACGATGATGACGACGATGATGATGATGATGATGATGATGATGATGATGATGATGATGATGAAGATGAAGATGCTGCTGATGATGATGATGCTGATGCTGATGCTGATGCTGCTGATGATGGTGGTGGTGGTGACGATGATGATGATGATGATGCTGATGATGATGATGATGCTGATGATGCTGATGACGATGCTGCTGATGCTGCTGATGATGATGATGCTGCTGCTGCTGCTGATGATGATGATGATGATGATGATGATGATGATGATGATGATGATGATGATGATGCTGATACTGATGATGATACTGATACTGTTGATGCTGAGTAGGAGGAGGTGGAGGAGGAGGAGGACGACGAGGAGGAGGAGGAGGAGGAGGGGGAGGAGGGAGAGGAGGAGGAGGAAGAGGAGGAGGAGGAGGAGGAGGAGGAGGAGGAGGAGGAGGAGGAGAGGAGAGGAGGAGGAGGATGGGGGGGAGCAGCAGTTGCAGGAGGGGAGCAGGAGCAGGAGCAGGAGGAGGAGGGGGAGTAGGAGGAGTAGGAGGAGGAGGAGGAGGAGGAGGAGGAGAGGAGGAGGAGGAGGAGGAGGAGGGAGGAGGAGGAGGAGGATGGAGGAGGATGGAGGAGGAAGAGCAGTATGACCGAAGACCCATGGAGGAGGATGGAGGATGGAGGAGGATGGAGGAGGAAGAGGAGGAGGATGGAGGAGGATGGAGGAGGAAGAGGAAGAGGAGAATGGCGCGGGTCTGTACAACTGCCCGATCCCTACCTAGAGACCCAATGTTTTGTTTGTGTTGGTACGGCGTCTCCGGAAGTCCCGACAGTTATTTTTCCAACCATCTTGTGGTGTTGGGTCCTCTTTTTGAAGAGACAGCGCCCCGCGTCTCCTCCTTCTCCTCCCTCCTCCTCCCCCTCCTCCCCCTCCTTGCTTTGGCTCTCCGCATGTCTCTGTTTCAACATACCCCTCATACGCTTCGTGACCCCATAGGGAGCTCCTCAGAAGGTCCCAGTGGCTAGATGTGCAGCTCGCATGGCACCGCCGCCCAATATTGGCAAACCCCTCACACGCTTCTTGGCCCCATAGGGAGCTCCACCTAAGGTCACATTGGCGCAGTTCGCATGGCGCCGCCGCCCCATTTTGGCACACCCCTCACACGTTTCGTGGCCCCCATAGGGAGCTCGAACTAAGGTCCCAGTGGCGCAGCTCGCATGGCGCCGCCGCCCAATTCTGGCACACCCCTCTCACGTTTCGTGGCCCCATAGGGAGCTCCACCTAAGGTCACAGTGGCGCAGCTCCCACGGCGCCGCCGCCACATTTTTGGCACACCCCTCTCACGTTTCGTAGCTCTATAGGGAGCTCGAACTAACGTTCCAGTGGCGCGGCTAGCACGGCGCCGCCGCCCCATTTTGGCACACCCCTCGCACGTTTCGTGGCCCCATAGGGAGCTCCATCCAAGGCCCCAGTGGCGCAGCTCGCATGGCGCCGCCGCCTCATTTTGGCACATCCCTCACACGTTTCTTGGCTCCATAGGGAGCTCCTCCTAAGGTCCCAGTGGCCCAGCTCGCATGGCGCCGCCGCCCCATTCTGGCACACCCCTCTCACGTTTCGTGGCCCCATAGGGGGCTCCACCGAAGGTCCCAGTGGCGCAGCTCGCATGGCGCCGCTGCCCCATTTTGGTACACGTACACCCCTCGCACGTTTCGTGGCTCCAGAGGGAGCTCCACCTAAGGTCCCAGTGGCGCAGCTCGCATGGCGCCGCCGCCGCAATTTGGCAAACCCCTCACACGCTTCCTGGCCCCATAGGGAGCTCCTCCTAAGGTCCCAGTGGCGCAGCTCGCATGACGCCGCGCACCATTTTTGGCACACCCCTCACACGCTTCTTGGCTCCATAGGGAGCTCCACCGAATGCCCCAGTGGCGCAGCTCGCATGGCACCGCCGCCCCATTTTGGCACACCCCTCACACGTTTCGTTGCCCCATAGGGAGCTCCACCTAAGGTCCTAGTGGCGTAGCTCGCATGGCGCCGCACGCCATTTTTGGCACACCCCTCGACGTTTCGTGGCACCATAGGGAGCTCCATCCAAGGCCCCAGTGGCGCAGTCCGCATGGCGCCGCCGCCCCATTTTGGCACACCCCTTATACGCTTCGTGGCCACATAGGAAGCTCCACCTAAGGGCCAATTGGCGCATCCCGCACGGCGCCGCCGCTCATTTTTTGGCACACCACTCACACGTCTCGTGGCCACATAGGAAGCTCAACCTAAGGTCCCAGTGGCAGAACTCGCATGGCGCCGCCGCTCGATTCTGGCACACCCCTCGCACGTTTCGTGGCCCCATAGGGAGCTCCACCTAAGGTCCCAGTGGCGCAGCTCGCATGGCGCCGCCGCCCCGTTTTCTGGGACACATACGCACACTACGCACGTTCCGTTGCCCTATATGGTATATGGAGCTCCACCTAAGGTCCCAGTGGCGCAGTTCGCATGGCTGCGTCGACCCAGTTTGGCACACTTCACACGTTCCGTGGCCCCATAGGGAGCTCCACCGAATGCCCCAGTGGCAGGGTTCACATGGCGGCGCCGCCCCATGTTGGCACACCCCTCACACGTTTCGTGGGCCCATAGGGGGCTCCACCTAAGCTCCACCTGATGCCGCACAGTTCGCATTTGGGTGTCGCCCCCGTTTCGGCGCACCCCTCGCACGCTTCGTGACGCAATAGGGAGCATCTCCCAAGGCCCCAGTGGCACAGTTCGCATGTGGGCGTCGCCCTCGTTTCGGCACACCCCTCACACGTTTCGTGGCCCCATAGGGAGCTCAACCTAAAGTCCCCACCCCTCACACGTTTCGTGGCCCCATAGGGAGCTCCACCACCGATAGCGGCAATGGCAGTGCTCAGACATAGGCGTCACCTCCGTTTCGGCACACCCTTGGCTTGTTTCGTGGCCCCATAGGGGGCTCCACCTATGGCCCCAGTGGCAGTGCTCACATGTGGGCGTCACCCCCGTTTTGGCCCACCCCTCACACGTTTCTATGGGAGCCGACCGCGACGAATGCACGCGCAAAGAGGCTACCACATCGACCCAAAAAACGGTGGGTTGACGATCTGACAGAATACTTTCTTACAGCGCATGGACAGCATTGGCTACATTTTGGAGGAAGTATGGATGAATTGGAGGATGATTACGTTTATCACACAACATCAACAATATCCCCGGTGACTGAATGAGCGGCGCCCCGGCGCCACCTCCCAGCCCCCCGCGCGGCCGCCCTTTTGGGCGAACTGGGAGTCGCCTCGCCTCGCCTCGCCCTCACACGTTTCGTGGCCCCATACGGAGCTCCACCGAATATTGTTCTCACAACTGCACAACTGCATGTGGTTGGGTCCTTCGCCAGGACTAACTGCGGCGCGATGGAGATGGATATCACGAGGGGAGGACGGATGATGGAGAAATAAGGATAGAGAGAGAGAGAGAGGGAGAGAGAGCGATAGAGAGGGAAGGATCAAGAGAACAAGCACTTCTAAAGAAAATGAGCAGGCTCGGGATGACGAGCCGTCCCCAGGGGCGGCTCGTCATTCCGAACCGTTTTCTGACGGCGCCGTGGCCCGGCGAGGGTCCCTGGGGGCTGAAGGCGGCGAGAACCTTCCCGACTGGTCTGCCTCGAACGCGGCTGGAGGTCTTGGTGGCCCACGACCACGGCGCGCCCCGATTCTCGATGATTTATCCCCCTCGATCCCCATCGATCCTCTATCCTCGTCTACCCTCGATCCTCATCGATGCTCGATCCTCCTCCTCCTCCTCCTCCTCGATCCTCGATCACCCACCTCTGTCCTCCTTCTCCACCTCCACCTTAGCCCTCCTCCTCCTCCTCCTCGATCCTCGATTCTCCACCTCCGTCCACCCCCGTCCACTTCCTCATCCTCCTCCTCCTCCTCCTCCTCCTCGATCCTCGATCGTCCTCCCTCCTTCCCCCTCCTCGATCCTCCAACTCTATCCTTCTCCCCCGTCGTCGTCCTCCTCCTCCTCCTCCGCCTCCTCCTCCTCCTCCTCCTCCTCCGCCTCCTCCTCCTCCTCCTCCTCCTCCTCCTCCTCCCCCTCCCTCTCCTCGATCGTCGCTCCTCGATCCTCCTCGATCCTTCCCTTCCTCCCCCTCCTCTTCCTCGACACGCTTCTCTCCACCCCGCGGGCGCGCCCGAGGCCCGCGCCACCCGGCGGCTGGGCAGGCGCTGCGGGCTGGCCGCCACTTCCCTGGAGCCGGGAGGCCCCCACCCGCCCCGCCGCCATTTCTCGCCGCTCCTTCCTCGCTCGCTCCTTGTCGGCGTTCTTCCTCTTCTTCTGGATGCAGAAGGAGAGTCACTGTATCACCATCATCATCATCATCATCATCATCATCATCATCATCATCATCATCATCATCATCATCATCATCATCATCATCAATGTAATCGTCATCATCATCATCATCACCATCATCATCATTATCATCATCATCAGTATCATCATCATCAGCATCATCATCATCAACATCATCATCACCATCATCATCACCATCATCATCACCACCATCATCATCATCATCATCAGCACCATCGTCATCATCATTATCATCATCAGCATCAGCATCACCATCATCATCATCGTCATCATCATCATTACCATCATCATCATGTTGATCATCATCATCATAATCATGGTCGACATCATCATCGTCAGCATCAGCATGCATCACCGTCATCATACTCGTCATCATCATCAGCATCGGCATCGTCATCGTCGTCATCATCATCCTCATCACCATCATCATCATCGTCATCAGCATCATTAGAATCAGCATCATCATCAGCATCTTCATCATTAACATCATGACCACCATCATGGTCATCATTGTCATTATGAGCATCGTCAGCATGGTCAGCATATCATTATGGCCAGTATAGCATCAGCATCTTCAGTATCACCATGGTCATCATGGTCATCATGACCATCGTGATCACCATCACCAGCATCATCATCAGCATACTGACCATTCCCATCATCATCATCATCATCATCAGCATCAGCAGCATCATCATCATCATCGTCTTTACCATCATCATCATCACCATCATCATCATCATACTCATCAGCATCAGCATCATGATCAACATCATGACCATCGTCATCATCATTATCACCACAACCAAGACTATCATCATCACCACCATCTTCGTCATCATGTCCATCATGGTAATCATGGACATCCGCCGTGTCAACACCAGCATCATCGTGATCGTCATCATGCTCATCGCCATCATCATCACAACCAACACCACCACTAGCATCATCATCGTCACCATTCGCATCAGTAGCCAATTTGGCTTACACCAGTTTTGGTGCACGTTCTATACCTGCTCCCTGACGCACAGAATTCGTGCGCAGCCGTTGGGAGTGCCCAAGGACGCGCACCAGGAGTTTCCCAGCACTCGTTCGCCCCAGCTAGCTGCCCTGCAGCTGGAGGCAATCCTTTTCGCCAAACCCAGTCTTCTGCCCCCAGTCTTCCACCATGGACGCCGCCCAGCCGCGGCTCATCCTGACAGATGTTGGCGCTTGTCAATCTAAACATCTCGAATGTCGGCAGCACTCTCGCCAACCTTGACAAGCGGTTTCCAGAAGGCATCGCCAGGAACACGAGCTCGATTGTCGACTTGCAGGAGCACATCGCTGCAAAGTCCGCGAACATGGACGAGATCGAGACGATGCAAAGGTGGACGTGCTGACGATGCAATGATTGAGGACATCTTCGAGGTTGCCGCCACGTGCTCTGCAGCAGCGCGCCTGCAAACGCTCGGGGCTCAGTAGGCAGGCCTGGACCAGACACTGAGAGGTGCAGCAACATTGTCTGCCGCATCTTCCGCGAGTGCTCCATCGGTTCGGTCTGCGGATCGCCCCACCATGCCCTCATACTCAACGATGCCATGGGCTCGAGGTTCCCCCAGGAAGCTGCTGAACATCGTCTTCGGGACGTACTTCAGCATCACTAAGACCCCCATGCCAGATGAGTGCTGCTAGCAGTGTCCTTGCCAATGCCAGAGCCTGCGCATCGATAACGCCATCAAGTTCGACGAGGCTGAGCATGGCAAGGCTTTCCACGATCACACGGGGGACCACCCCGTCCGTTTTACTAAAGCCTTTACGGGCAATCGCCGCGACTCGTACATTGGGTTCGGCGAGCCATACGATGTCAATACGAAAAGTTTAATTGTTCACTTTGGTATGGAAGCAGGTCTCTGCGTATGTGCGCGACAATGGGCGCTGGAACATATCGGTTACTCTGGCACGCAACAAGTTCCAGGGCTCTGCTACACCACGATCAGCGATGAGCCGATGGACCTTGCCACCCCCGCCTCGTGGTCGGATATTGAAGTGTTTTTGAACACGGACGATTCCGCGCTGAAAGACTTCGGGCTCACCGAGGAGCAGATCCAGGACATGCCTGCAGCCGTGTGCCACGGCTACGCGCAGGAATAGGACACCTACGCACTGAGCTCCGCTGCCGCTGCTGCCGCACAATCAAATTAACCTGCCAGTCTGTCTCCTCCTGACAGGCATACTCTGCCTGACTCGGGGGTTGCTTCTGTGGATTATCGTCAGCAGGATCATCAGCACCACCACCGCCATCACCATCGTCATCATCACCACCACCTTAATCACCACCATCATCATCAGCATCATCACCATCATTATCATCATCACCATCATCATTCTCATCATCCATCTCCATTGTCATCATCATCATCAGCATCATCAGCATCATCATCATCACTCCCATCACAAACAAAATCATCATCATCAGCATCACCATTACCATCACCATGGTCATCACCACCACCACTACCACCCTATCACCACTATCAGTTTCAGCATCAACAACACCATCATTATCACCACCATCATCATCCTTATCACGTCCTCCCCCCGCTCCCTCTTCCGTCTCTCCTCCCTCCTGCTTTTTTGCCACGCCTCCCTCGTGTTTTTGTTTGTCGCTGGTGCCATCGCCCCCTCCTCTTCCACTCCTCGTCGCTCGCTCTCCCTCCCTCCCTTTCTCCCCTCCCCTCCCCCCTCCCCCCTCCCTCTCCAAACCTCCGCCGACCTGCCTTTTTCACCCCGCGGCCCCAGGGCATTTGTAGCGGGTCGCCAGGTCCGCCGTCAAGACATGCCAAGCAACAATTTCCGACCACATTCCCAGCACCGGTGCAGCCGGGCCCGACAGCACCCGTTGGCGCCCGCCCGCCCTTCCTGCGGGCAGGGCCCATCCCCTCGGACTTCCTGTCGGTGCTGCCCTCGCTGGCGGAGATCGAGACTGGGCGGGGGGTGGTGGTAGGGCCGGGCAGGAGAGGGGGGGAAGGGAGGAGGAGGAAGAGGAGGAGGAGGAGGAGGAGGAGGAAGAGAAGGAGGAGGAGGAGGAGAAGGAGGAGGAGGAGGAGGAGGAGGAGGAGGAGGAGGAGGAGGAGGAGGGGGAGGGGGGAGGGGGAGAGAGGAGGAGGAGGAGGAGGGAGAGGAGGAGGAGGAGGAGGAGGAGGCGGAGGAGGAGGAGGAGGAGGCGGAGGGAGACTTAGACGCAGAATATGCATACTCACACTAATCACAGTAATAATGTTTAGAACAGGGTGGTTCATATTAACTTTTTAACAAACATAAGACCTGATAATCGTACTAACATGACTTTCACAAATAATAATGCAAGCACGACTCATACTAACCATATTCATGCTAACGCCATTCTGAATACGGTTACTTGTAATATTAACAGCACTGATCTTACGACTACTAACCATATCGTTCATTTAACAATAGCTACTCTGATCAATATGTGCAGTCATGACACTAGCAATCACATTGTCAATACTATCAATGCTACTACTACTACTACTACTACTACTATAACTACTACTACTACTACAACTACTACTACTACTACTATTAGTATTACTACTACTACTACTACGACTACTACTACTACTACTACTACTACTACTCCTAGCACGACTACTGCTGCTAATACTATCAACAACAATGCTACTACGAATGCGACTGCTACCAACACGAACAACAATAATACAACTGTTAACCACACTAAAAGTACTGCTAGCATCTGTTAATAGTGAAAGCGCGCCAGTGGGTGGCCCTGAAACACTAAAGAGCGGGTGTGCTCGCAGAACCCCCCCCCCTCCCTTCAAAGGCGGGGTGAGATTTTCGACCCCCCCCCTCTCCCCCTAAAGAGGGGGGGGGGGGGGCGAGCGGGTGTGCTCGCAGAACCCCCCCCCCTCCCTTCAAAGGCGGGGTGAGATTTTCGACCCCCCCCCTCTCCCCCTAAAGAGGGGGGGGGGGGGGCGAACCCCCCTCCCCCCCTCCCTTGAAGGGGGGGGAGGGACCCCCCCCCGCTCCCACCCCCTTGGCCCCCCTTTGCGCCGAACGCGGGGCTGGGGAGGGGGCCTCTCGGGTAGTGAGTAGAGAGTGGAGTGTTTTGAGTTGCGATTGGTGAGTCGTGGTTTTTGATAGTGAGTAGTGCGCAGTGAGTCGTGGGTGGTGAGTACTGAGAAGTGGGTAATGGGTAGTGGTAGGAGTGAGTCGCGCGTAGAGATCAGTGGGTAGTGAGTAGTAGTGGGAAGGAAGTAGTGAGTAAGGAATTCTGAGCAGTGAGGAGTGAGTAGTGTGTAGTGAGTAGTGCATAGTGAGTAGCATGCAGGGGGTAGGGATGACGGAGTAGACAGTAGCGAATAGCGAGGGGTGAGTAGTAAATAGTGAGTAGTACGCAGTGAATAGAGAGTAGTGAGTAGTGTGTGGTGAGTAGCGAGTAGCGAGTAGCAAGTAGGGAGTGGTGGGTAGGGAGTAGCGACTAGTGAGTTGTGAGTAGCGAGTAGGGCGTCGTGAGCAGTGAGTAGTGAGGAGGGAGTAGTCAGGAGTCAGTAGTGAGTAGCGAGTAGGGAACTGTGCGTCACGAGTAGGGAGTACCGAATAGTGAGTAGTGAGTAATAAGTAGTGAGAGCGAGAAGTGGGTAGTGAGTAGTCGGTTGCGAGTAGGGAGTAGTGAGTATAAATTAGTGAGTAGCGAGTCGTGATTACTGAGTAGTGAGTAGTGAGTAGCGACTTGCGACTAGTGACTAGCGAGTAGGGAGGGGGGAGTAGTGAGTAGTGAGCAGCGAGTAGTGCGTAGTGGGTAGTGAGTATGTCCTATTGGGTATCGAGTAGCGGATAGTGAGTAGTGGGTTCTGGGCAGTGCGTAGTGAGTAGTGAGTTGTGAGTTCCCAGTAGTAAGTAGTGGATAGTGGTCAGTGGGTAGTGAGTAGTGAGTAGTGGGCAGTGAGGGTGTGTAGTGAGTAGTGAGTGCTGGGTAGTGAGTAGTGAGTAGTGAGTTGGGAATAGTGAGGGAGTAGGGAGTAGTGAGTAGTGAGTAGTGGGAGCGTATTGAATAGAGACTAGTGGGTAGTGAATAGTGCGTTGCGTATTGGGTAGCGAGTAGGGCGTAGGGAATAGCGAGTAGTGAGTCGTGAGTAGTGAGTACTGCGTAGGAAGCAGGGACTAGCTTGTAGCGAGTACTGCATAGTGAGTAGTGAGTTGTGGGCAGTGAGTAGTGAGTAGTGAAGTGTGAGTAGTGAGTACTGGATAGTGGTTCGTGGGTATTGAGTAGTGAATTGTGATTAGCGAGTAATGGGTAGTGAGTTGTGTTTAGTGGGTAGTGAGTAGTGAGTAGTGAGTTGCGATGAGTTTATAGTGAGTAGTGAGTAGTGGGTAGAGAGTAGGGAGTAGTAAGTAGTGCGTCGTGGGTAGTGAGTCGTGGGTAGTGAGTAGTGAGTCGTGGGTAGTGAGTAGTGAGTAGTGAGAATTGAGTAGTGAGTAGCGAGCTGTGAATTGTGGGTAGTGAGGGGTGCGCAATGAGTAGTGAGTGCTGTTTGGGGCTAGGGTTTGGGTTTGGGGTTGGGGTTAGGGGCTAGGGCAAGGGCGATGATTAGTGTTAGGGGTGGTAGGGGTCGGGTTCCGGAGACCGGGGGCGCCGTTGAGAAAGGGGGGGAGGGGGGGGGGTCGAATTTGGCGGCCAAAGGGGGGGGGGGGTCGGACCCCTCCCCCCCTTTTGAAAGGGGGGGAGGGGGGGGGGTCCCCGACGACGGACGACAGGGAAAGGGGGGGAGCCGGGGGGGGGTTCCCCGACAACGGATCGGGAAAGGCGGGGAGGGGGGAGGGGGTCCCCGACGACGGATCGGGGAAAGGGGCGGGGGGATTACCCTCCCCCCTTGGGGTCATCCAGCGGCGCGCCCTCGTTAGTGGTAACACTAAGAAGCATGATAGTACTACTAGTATCAATACTTCCACTACTCAGGACCAGTAGCAATACTACTACTAACCGTTCTGAATCTAATACTAGTCATGATAAGACAGCGGTTACTCATACTCATACTACTATCATTATTAACACTACCACTACTACTACTACTACTACTACTACTACTACTACTACTACTACTACTACTACTACTACTACTACTACTACTACTACTACTACGACTACTACTACTACTACTTTAATGCTATTATTCTGACTCTGAATGCTGATGCAAATAAGGCGAACCATACAAAAACCACGCATACTAACACAAAAGCTCGCGCTTGCATGCAATTCGTATCAAGAGGATATTCCTGCCACTATGACTACTCACATTATTAATACTAACAGCATTTCGAGTACTAGTACTTCTACTACGACTGCTACCGATAATCGTGATATTCTTCGTCGTGCTACTAATACTACTGGTGGCTTGTTTATTAGGAGCATAGATATTTGTATTAACGCTGTTACCACCTACGGATAACTTCAATCATAATAAATCTATTCCGAGTACTAGCTCTATTGATATTATGCACACTACTTGTAATGATATTATTTTTATTGCTGCTATTACTGCTTTGGAAAATACTGAAACCACTCATGCTACTACTGATGGTGCTACTTTTGCCACCCACTACCACTACTACTACTGCTACTACTACTACTACTATTACTACTACTACTACTACTGCTACTACTACTACTACTACTATTTACCACGTCTACTACTGCTACTACTACTACTACTACTACTACTACTACTACTACTACTACTACTACTACTACTACTACTACTACTATTACTATCACTACTACTACTACTACTACTACTACTACTACTACTACTACTACTACTACTACTGCGACTACTATTACTGCGACTACTACTACTGTTTTATTACATCACTACACCTTACTAAGAAGGACCATCCGATTAATCATGTTATAATCAAGAGGAGGGGGAGGAGGACGAGAAGGAGGAGGATGAGGAGGGGGAGGAGGAGGCCAAGGAGGAGGAGGAGGAGGATGGAGTAGAGTGGAGTGGAATGGAATGGAGCGAAGCAGGAAGCGCGCCGATCGATGCCGACACGACCCACCCCTGCGCCCGAGGCACGGGAAAGGCCAGCCGCCTCAGGAGGGGGACTCC